AAAAAAAAAAAAAAAAAGCTACTCCATGTGCTTCTCAATAAAGGACGCGAATCGCTCTGCATAGGCGTTGGGGTGGATACAGGAAATATTCTTGCGGTCAAACTTTTGTATTGTCCGCAGGGTGTGCTCGAATTTTTTCTTCAGAGTCCACTGGGTAAAAATGTCAATAATACCGAAGAAGAATATTTTGTTCTTGTCCATGCTGATCATGCCTCCGTGGTCACACTGGTGAAAAGGGCGGGCCGCGATGCATTTCCCCTCGTTGTCTAGCACATGGCGAACCTCATTAGTGCGACTCGCATTCCAGTTGACCAAGTCCCTAGACAAGTCTTTGTAATGGATCCCGAACAGAAGGGAGTAATCCAGCAAGTAATGTTCTTTTAAAAATTCTGCATCTGCCTTTATCACTTTCAGCAACCTTTCCTTGTTCTTTTCTCCGACATTGATCCTGTCCCCCAGCTCATCAATGTCCACATCCTTCAGGGCGATGGTGTGGTCTTCCCTCTTGGCCGGGGGCACCGTGCGACCCACCAGGCTGCCCTTGATATCGTACCTCCTGTGGATCTCCACCGCCGAGGAGAAAAAGTTGTTCATCACGATGAAGTAGATCTTCTTGGAGCTTCCTGCGAGGGGGGGGGTAATAGCGGCGGTTAGCGATTGAGCGGCGGTTAGCGATTGAGCGGCGGTTAGTGGTTTAGCGGCGGTTAGTGGTTTAGCGGCGGTTTAGGGTTTGCACAATTTGCGGTGTGCACGATTTGCACGGTTAGCGGTGAGTCACTTCTGGCCGCTACCACCACTCCCGAGCGAGAAACGTACTTCCTGATCCATTTTTATATTTGATGCAGTGGATTCCATAGAGGCGGGTGAGCAAAGAGTCCGGGTTACTTCTAATGTGCTCGTAATACTTTGGCAGCAGGGCTCTCGAAAGGTTGTGTATGTTCTTGCACACCTGCAGGGGGGGGAGGTGAGTACGGCGCGTTTGTTACTGTTCGCGTGGGCACGGCGCGTGAGTACGACGCGCCTGGGTAAACACTTACCGTCTTGATGATGTACTTGCCGTTGCTGGTGAAGTAAAAGAGCGAGCCACTCTTCCCCTCGGAGAGTAACTCGCTCAGCGTGGACAGGTTACCCAACACCATATTACTTATCACTTGCTCAGGACCAACTGAAGAAATATATTCCTTCGATCGAATTCCATACAAACTTCTAATTTGCTTGAAGATCACCGGGGCGTAGTTTATAAATACTACTCTATGTTGCGCATTGGATGTTGGTAACTCCAGAAGGTCCTTATGTTTAAACAAATCACTAATGCTACTCGTGTTATAAACTTTAATAGCAGATAAACGAATTCCTATCATCATGTTCATCACCAAGTCCCATCTCTCGTGCCCAAAGTACACAGCCAAAATTTTCTGTAGGTTCCTTTTTTTTTTTTTTTGTCTTAACGAGACAGATAATTTTCCTCTCCTTGTTAATCTGTGATAATAATTTGACTTGTTAATGTATATTTTCCTGGTTCTGTGTGATCCTTTGGAATAGGTCGATAGGAGATGATTCGTGTGACTTAGCAGGACACTCACTTCGTTCATGCTGCCTAACATGTTGCTATCCTCCAGTGAGTCGTACGAAGACGAACACTTTTGTGATATAGCTATGGTGTGCAGGAAGTACCTCACAATCTGCGTCATCAGCAACACGTTGTGGTATATACTCGCCCTGAAATTTTTTATGCTCATTTGAGATTCGTTGCTCGGTTCATCCCTCTGCACGTATGGACCGGCCCGATGAGCGTGACCCGCCTGACCACTCTCCACAGGGAAGCCGCCCCCCCCCTCCTGGGAGGCATCACTCCCCAAGTGATACTTAAACACGTGGAAAAAGAAGAAAAAAATGCAGTTGTAGTCACCACCTCCATTACGCTCCTTGCTCAAATACTCTTCAGTAGCCACCACGATATTGCCTAGATGATAGAGCACTTGCTCTTTGGTCAAATTTTCATTTACCATGACGTAGTGATTTCTGCTCGTGGGAATATAAAACTTCTTCTTAATAACATCATTGCTGAATTCGAGTAACACCCTTGGCTGACTCTTTCCATCCCTCACACCACACTTCCCTCCTCCCTTAGCCCGGCTCCCATATGAGGGATCTTCAAAACAAGGGGAATTAATCACACAAGTATCGTTACTGCTCATCATCAAGCAATTGTGGTTGTGAGAAATGGGGCATCTGGAGTGTTCTAAAAATTCTTTGTACTCGAAATATTTTTTACAAAGGTACTTGGCATTATCTACTCGTGTACCTGCATCTCCTCCTTCCATTGCTGCCTCAGCAGCAGCACCAGCGACTGCTACGTCTGCATCCTCCTCGCTAAGAGACCTCTCCGTGATGCTCCCCTTATCGTGTTTGTCATGACCCCTACTACCTTCACATTTACCCTCCACATTTATCCCACCAGCAGCATCATTTCCCTTTTCACTTCCTGCACTACCCGCACCGCGTGCACTTCCAGCAGTACCGCCCCCTTCCATATCCTCATACGCACTGCTTTCCCCTGGGTCGTTAACATGAGAATGCTTCTTCCCCCCACCTTCTACGTCCCTGTCCAGTTCTTCCTTCCCATCTGAGTACGTGTCCAATTCGAGCAAATACCCTTCCTCTTGCTCCTCTGCGAATTTTCTATACCTCTTAACATACTCGTTGTACTCCTCCACATATGTTTTGTTTTCCTTTTTTTTTTCAAATCTTAAAATGGCTTTCATTATTGCACACTCGTGTTTCTTTGTGCCATTGTTAGTTTGATCTAACAGGCCATTCATCATCACTCCACACTTTTCATTTCCCTCCTTACCGTCTCTCCCCGGAGTCACTGTGCATTTGTACGGGGTGGAGATTGCAGGAGAAAGGGGAGACCCACCAACCTGCCCCTTCCCCTTCCCCTTTCCCCTGACGGTATCACCACTAACTGCTCCTCTCCCTGCCATCAAACTCGACGGCGAACTTGTTTCACTAGACATACCCCCTTCGTCTGCAACCCCCATGGCACCAATTCGGTTCCTTCTGTCCAATGGACACCCCTTACACAGACTCACCATCTCCACATCTGATTGGTCATTCCATATGTACGAGCTGCTCTCCGAAGGTTCATAATTTGCATGGCTGTCGTCCCTCCTCCCACTCTCTACCATCATCAAGCTATTGTAAAAGCTAGAAGATTGACACGACTGCTGGTATGAGTTATTTTGCTCACTGCAACTGGCTTTCCTTGATCCATCCTCCAAGCCACCCTTCGCGGTGTCGGTTCCCTCAGTCATCATCATCGTAGGGGAGTTATTTGAAGCATTTCCCCCCCCTTTCTGTACATGTCCTTTTATTGCTTTATTTCTTTTTTTCTCCTTGTTAAGGTCGTTATTGCTGCCTTTTTTTGTACATTCCTCTTCATCGCAGTCCGTGCCTTCCATTGGATCCATCCGGCGGGATGTTTGTGAAGTGCCCATGCCAGGGGTGACACAAGATCGACTCCTTCTAGACCCATCACCACTACGAGGCACATTCAAATAAGTACTCTTTCCGCTTAACTCTTTACCTGACTTAAGGACGGTCAACTGGAATAGGCCACCGCGTTTGGTCTTTGTTGATCCTGCTCCCTCTTCCGCTGCCGCGCTTGACTGAATGACAATACTCTCTAGAGGCTCACAGCTTTTATTCTTGTCGCCGCTCGTATCGCCGCTGTTACCATCGCCGCCGCTTTTCTTCTTCCGGCCCCGAGTGAAGAGGGACGCAGCGGAGCCCTTGCCCACGTTAAGCCGGGTGTTGGTAGACACGGAAAAAGATTTCACTCGGTGATTAGAACCCATTCGACGAGAAAACTCACCCCCAAACGCATTATTGTGGTTATCCATTCCGCTTTTTTCAAATTTGTTTTTTTTCCTTGTCTCAATTTCGCGACTTATAAAGGCATCAGCGACTTTGTTGTGGATTCCAAGCAGCTTTAAAAACTCATTACACTTGACTGCCTTGCGGTAACACTTGAGGTTCATCCGGTACTTACCATCGGAGCACAGCATGCTCAGGGATTTGAATGTATATTTTATTTGACTGACCAGAATTTTTTCCTCCGTCCCAAGCAGCTGCTTCTTAATGTCATTTATACTCAGGACGATGTCCTTGAATTGCTCGTACGAGATGTAGTCCGAGTAGTCCCTAATCACTGGGGCGGCCTGTCCTGCCGCTGCATCAGCTGCTGCACCATCTTCCTGCCGATCATCTTCCTGCCCGTCGGCGTGCCCATCAGCTGCTGCACCATCAACTGCTGCACCAGCTTCCTCCCCATCCGCCTCGTCATGACTGGCTGCGCCCCCTGTACCCCCCGCGTGCACGATACGGTAGGACAGCTTCAACTTCTCCCGCTTACTCCCCTTCAACATGGTGTTGATGGCAACACAAAACTCATAAAAGTCGAGGTACCCATCGTCGTTGGTGTCAAAAGCTTTAAATATGGAACTGTACAGGTAAGCATTCTTTATGGTCCCCAGGATACCTAAGCTCTTTTCAAAATTCTTGTAGTCCAACTTGCCTTTGTTGCTAATGGAATTAAATCGTTTGTGAATCACTGCTATTTCTTCATCGCTCAAGTGAGTAATTTCTTTTATTTCTTTCTTCAAGTTCCAGTGTAAGGCGTTGCGCACGTGTGCGCTGGTGCACATCGTTGGGGGGTTGTGTAACACAGGTGTGAGGTCTTTTTTTTTTGGGGGGGGGATGGGGCGTGTGTGTGTGTGGCGGAAAAGGAGGTTATATAAACCAACACCTACATGGGATGGTACACCCTGCTAAAGACAATACATTGCTTCTAAACAGCAAGAGAGGCACTCCTACAACGAAATTCAATTAATCGTATGAGGATAACTCGACTGATGGACACCTGCCACTATACAATGTTGAAGCGTTTCTTCTCCTCTCCTTGGGTGTCAACTCCAGTCTAGATCACAAAAAACTAATTAAAATGGACGAAAAAAAAAAAAAAAAAAAAAAAAAAGGCGGGGGAATCTT